CCCAACTTCCAAAAAATTAACGCATGATCCCACATATGGGTATTCTTAGTATTTATTTTTGAACCCTGATAATGGATTTAGCATCTCCCTGTAGAAAGTAATTGTAGAAAGTAATCCAATCCTCAAGTCAAAAAAACACAGTTTAAGGCAACCAGCAATACGCAGATGCGTACAGCACTGATTCCAACCCTTTATAAACTTATTAACAAATTTTCTAAATATAGCCAAAGGATAAATTTGACTTTCAAAAAATATTTTTCAAAATGCTGATCAAATTAATGACAATTGATCTTACAATTTCATATAAAAAATACTTTTTAATTAATTAATATGGAGTATTATTAAGTGCGAGAATATGTTAAATTAACAGTGTTAAAGAAAATTAAATCCCACAAAAATCAGCCAGACATTAATGTCGGCTTCAAAAATATAATTAACTGTTAAATTTGCCTCTTCACAATTTTATCTACAATTATCTTCTTATATTTTAATCATCAAGTTTGAATATTATAATATTGTGCACTTATTGTATTGTATAATATTGTATAATATTGTGCACTTATTGTGCACCTTTTTCTGCGCCGCAGGAGAAAATTTTGAGAATTATGACGGTCCTTAGGCCAGATTTTTTCCATTTTTTCCAAAATGTTGATTTAAAAGTACAATACTTTTAAAAAAGTACAAATCGGAACCCTGGTCTAGAATGTTTAAAGAAATACATATTTACTCAACAAGATCAGTGAGAGAAATTCGAATCGTTTTTGGCTGAATTAAAGATGTTTATCGATTTGCGGTGTGTCCGATAGTAACAAAAAAACTAAACTAACTAACAATGTTTATCACGAAGACAACAATACAATAGAATAAGCGCGACTATGCGCTTGAATAGAATAATAGCTTACTACTTTTCAAAAAAGCTTTACTTTAGTTGTAGACGTTAAGCCGTTACCGATAGTATTTTTGGAAGGCCACATAATGGTCTAGATAATAATATTTGGATATACTTTAGCCGGTGGCCCACTCAGAAACGGGACAAATTATATACCATTCGATTCGTCTCGGCGAGCTGAGTCGAATTGTACCATTCTTTTTTTGCGGAAATGCCTAGGAGCCGAGATATAGGTCCTTGAAAACCGAAAAACCATAGGGGGAGTAAGCACATATTTGGGATGAAAAATTCAAATATGCAAATGATAGCTCATTCGAAAGAGCTCATCGAGAGGAGTCGAAAGACACCAAAATCAGCGAAATCTGACTTGATTGGACCGAGATATAGGCCCCTAAAAACCGAAGATAAAAATGGACGATTTTTGTAATTAAAAATTTTTTACACATATTATAGCTCATTCGAAAGAGCTCGACGAGCTGAGTCGAATGACAAAAAATCACCGTGATTGAACAAGTTTAGACAAAGTTACAACAGAAAAAACAATATAGATAAACCTATGGGGCGTCGGCGAGGCGCTTGTGCAAAACCCCGCGCTTCGCGCGGGGTTTTGCGGCACGCGCCTTGCCGGGAGTCTACGGGCGCTGGGTCTGGGCTCGTAACATAAACTTATGCCTATTTTAGCTGCGGTCGGCATGTCTGACTTCCTCCCCAGCACAAAAACCTGCACGTAGACCAAAGGTAAGGAGCTAAAACTAATGCTCATAACTTTGTTAAATCAATTCGTATTTCGCTTATTTTGGTGTCAATCGACTCAGCTCGTCGAGCTCTTTCGAATGAGCTATTATTTGCATATTCGAATTTTTCACCCCAAAAAAGTGCTTGGTCCCCCCTATGGTTTTTCGATATTTAAGTACCTATATCTCGGCTCGTAGGAATTTCCGCAAAAAAAGAATGGTACCATTAGACTCAGCTCGCCGAGACGAATCGAATGGTATATATTTTGATACGTTTCTGAGTGGGCCACCGGCTAAAGTACAGCCTAATATTTTATATCCTGACTCTATCCGAGATTTAACAAAAATTATCGAACCCACAAGTGTGATCAGTATAAGAAGACAAGTAACAAAGGTTGGTTGAAGGCAGGATAATTAACGCAAGCAAACTGAGTGACAGTACACTGAGGCTTTCATACTAAACAGTTGAAGGCATTTGAAATTTATTTATTTTTCCATTTTTATTGGTTATAAATAATCTTTATTAGAAAACCAGTTGTTAGGCCATAAATTATCTCAGTATTTTTGCAAATCCACATAGATGGACTAACTATTTTAGGCTGCATATGGAACGAATAATAGGGTGATATTCGGAGATTTATCCAGACTCGGACGGATAAATGCAATAAAATAGATATATTTGAAGAAAAAAACTAAAACAACTCCAATTCAATATATTGAAATTATTTTTTGTGAAGGTATGAGGAGTTGATGTTATCGTAAGGCTAACGAAGTATCTTCGCAGCCTATCAAATAAAAAGAAGCGATATGTCGTTGTTGGGATCAAGGATGGGCGTTTTGCGTTATCTCTTGCGTCCACACCTGGTTGTCATAGTTGAGCGAATAATATGTATAGCCTAAGTACTTTCTCGGCTCCCAAAAATAACATAAACATAAGCAAAGGTAGAACATTATCCTAAGTATTGCTCTTTATTTAAACTAGAGTTGATCAAAACGATACTGGTATCGGCCAACCCGAGACCGAGATTGACCGATACTCAAGAACCCGATACCGAGACCGATACCAACATTTTGAGCCGAGACCGATACCGAGAAACGATACTGACCGAGACTAACAAAATTTTTTATTTTATGAAAAAAATACGTGTAAAAATAATTTATTCATTATTTTCATCATACAAATCATCAGATAAATACTCTTCATCATCTGGATCCGATCTGGCTTGGCAATGGATACTAATTTTTGTGTCCGTATCCGAATAGGTATATCCGTGAGGTCGACATCCGTATCCGATTATATCCTTACAACTTTTGAGGCATATCCATCCGCGAGTATCCGCGGATGGCCGAAGTGAAAATTTTAGTTACCAAACCATTATTTCAGCGCCTCAGGCAAAAATTTTTAGAATTTTAGAAGTGCAAGTCAACAGATTTCTTCCCATTTACACCGCCGCAGGCGAAAATTTTTAGTTTTGGAAGGCCAAGAAGCCAGAATTCTTCTTATTTTCAGCGCCGCAGACAAAAATATGAGAATTTTGGAAGGCCATGAAGCCAGATTTCTTCCAATTTTGCCCTCAGATACGCAAACTCAATGCACTCATCCCTGCTTCCGATCATTTTGAATCCCCTTAATCCACTGGTGGGAACAACAGATGCGAAAATCGGAAGGCTCTGTAATCAAAATCTTGAAAATCTAACGGCCGAGGGCTTGGAAAATTCAACATTTCAGCGCCGCAGACGAAAATTTATTAAATTTTGGAAGGCCAGTTCACCAAATTTCTTCTTTTTTCAGCGCCGCAGGCGAAAATTTTTGAATTTTAGAAGACCTTATTCGAAAAAAATTCACTCTCTCTGTTATGGACGGATATCCGAAAAAAATTATGGACGAAAACTTGGATAATATTGAGAATTTTGGTTCTTTGAGTCAGTATCGTTTCTCGCCGAGAAATGGACCGAGAATATCGGTATCGATTTCGAGACCGAGAATGAAAAAACCGAAACCGATATTGGAAAAAAGCCGAGACTCTCGGTATCGGTCTCGGTATCGGTCTCGTCTTGATCAACTCTAATTTAAACTATTCTTACAACTATAATTGATAAGTTGCAAATTTTATGAAATTTTATGAATTTTATGAACCTACACGAAATACACTACATCAATAGGAAAATCCGCCTGGTTTTGCTCCGTATCTTAAAAATTATTAATTTATGAATAAAAATTGAACTATAGCAAAGTATAAATAAAGGACCAAGTATTTCTGATGTATTTTTGTAAGCACAAACCTTGAGAAAAATTAATTATATTAATTGAAACAATTAAAATTTTTTTGATTAATTTAGAAATTTTCAGACTTGCCTAAAAGCAGTAGCTTTTATCGAAAGTGGAAATGGAAGAAATTAGAGATGAGAAAAAGATAACTAGAGATGAAAGAAGGTGATAAGGAAGGAACACAAGACCGTTGGGGGTCAAGGATGAATCACTCTCAGTTATATTTAAGATTAGCTTTTCCTTCATTCTTTGTCACTTTATTCACTTAATTCTTTTTATTGAAAAACTTTATCCCTTTTAAATATTTTTGTATTTGTTTTATTGAATAAAATATTTATTTAATTTCTATTTATTATTTAACAATAATAAATCTATTTAATTAATTTACACTTAAATTAATTAAATATAATTCATTATCAATAGACAAATTTGGATTAGATTGTTCTTTTGATATCTGGCGAGCACTTTGAAGCAGTGATTAGAACGTGCAGCAACTTCAACAAATCAACAGATTGTTCCATTGACTTTTGATAGCAATCGGAATAAATTTGTAATTTAAAATTAAATTTAAAAATAATAATTATAAAGTTAAAATTTTTTAAAAATCATCTTATTTTTTTAAGAAAATTTTCAAACAACAAAAACTTTATAAATATTATTTTTTACATAAAAATTTAAAACTATAGGAAAATATTACTAATTATTTTAGCAAAATTTTATTTATAAGATTTTTTAAAAATTTTTTGGTAATAAAAAGCAGGTTTTAACTCAACTATCCAATTTAGCCAATTTCTTTAATAAATTATAGAAAAAGTTTTACTCGGATAAAATTAAAGAGGTCAAAGTGCAGAGTAAAAATCTTCAAGGAATATTAAAGTTTTCAACTAGGAAAGATTGTGAAACTTTTTGTAATATCTATAGAAGATTAAAGAGGTCAAAGTGTAAAGTAAAAAAGTCTCTAAAGAATATTAAGGTTTCCAACTAAAGAAAAAGATTGAGAAACTTTGTGTAATATCTGAGAAGACTTTGAAAAATATTACATTATTAGTGGAATCAAGGTTTTTTTTAAAGAATCAAGGTTTTTTTTTGTAAATTTTTAATCTAAATAATGTCAGCACCAACTCAGATTCAGATGGAAATGTTAGTTAATAGTTTGAAAATACATTTAGGCATACATATTCCAGAAGAACTAGGACCAAGTGCGACTCCAAATCAATTACGACGACAACTATACTATACTAAAGATGTCATTCAAAAAATTGAAGAAAAACTTAAAAAATTGAATGATGTTTATGAAGTAGGTAATGAGTATATTGCTAAATTGAATAAAGAGGGACGAGAACAAAGAGAAGTACAATTACATACGATATATAAAAACTTAGAAATTGGGGTCTTAACGGAAGCAGCAGAAAATAAACTTAGACTTTGGATAGATAAAAGACTTAGCTTAGCTCAAAGACTTGATTTACCAGATTTAGATTCAACAAGTGAGGTTTCGGAAACGAGTCAAGTACACCCAATAAGAACCGAACAAAGAAAATTGTTACGCCCACCAATACAATTACGTAGGTTTGACGGTACAATGGAAAATTGGTGTGGTTTTTGGGAAACTTTTAGAGTATTGATACATGAAGATGTCACATTAAGTCATATTGAAAAATTTAATATATTAGAATCAGTCCTAGATGATGAAGCAAAAGACCTGTTAGGGGGTCTACAAATGACAAGAGAAGGATATGAAACCGCCATAGATTTACTTTTGAAAAAATTTGGGAATGATAAAAAATGAATTAGAGCTTTAAATCATGAATTGTTAAATCTTCCACAAAGTTATAATTTTAATGATGATGAGAAATTATATTTAAAAATTGAAAAACTGTGTCGACAATTAGAATCTTTAAAACAGAACATTGATGAAGCTCCTTACTCAGAAGTTTTAGATAAGTACTTCACAATAAAGGACGTAGAAGATAATGAAAATTGGAACACATTAAAGTTTAGGGACGCGTTGGGGCGAGCACTGACACAAATAAGAAATAAAGTAGAAGTAAGACTGGTACCAAGTAATAATCTTAGAGATATAAACAATGAACCAACAATGAATTTTTCTATAAGTTATGATAATAAAAACAAAAAATATTCACCAGAAAGGCAAAGAGGAAGAGAAGAAAATAGGACTAGAGGAAGACAATTCTCAGGTAGACAAAATAAACTTTCAGATTCTTCGAGTCAATCAGACTATAGAAGAACTCCAAGTCCAAAAAAGAAGGAATTTAAAGGAAGAAAGCCTTCTCCGTATCCTCAACGAAATGAAAGTAGTTCTGGTAGCAGAAGTCCATCGAGATTTCCTTGTCAATTTTGTGACAAGCCACATGCACCAATAAATTGTCGTATTTTTTGGAGTGCCCGAGAAAGAAGAAACAAAGCAGTTGAAAGAGACAAAGCAGTTATAGTAAAATAATCAAAGATCAATTAGATAAAGGTCTTATAGAAAATTAGATCCGTTGGAGGATAAATATACTGTTGGGAGAAAAGTTCATTATTTGCCGCATATGCCAGTTACAAAAGAAAGTCCAATGGGAATTAAACTTCGAATAGTATATAATGCATCAGCTAAAAAGGCACATTCTTTATCGTTAAATCAATGTTTAGAAAAAGGTCCAAACCTTTTTAATGATTTAGCTGGTATTTTACTGCGAGCACGAATGAAAAAGATTTTACTATGCGGAGAAATAGCTAAAGCATTTCATATGATAGAATTACATCCTAAAGATAGAGATGTAGTAAGATTTTTATGGGCGAGGAATCCAGAAGATGAAAATTCTCAGTTGGAAGAGTATAGATTTACTAGGGTTACGTTTGGTGTCATTTGCTCACCTGCTCATTTAGCTTTAACTATAGAGATGCATCTTAGAAAATTCATGGGATATTAGTGAAGCAACTAGGGGATAATGTTTATGTAGATAACCTTTTAGTGGGTTTAGAAACAGACAATGAAATAATGAAGACATATAAGGAAATGAAGAAGATTTTTAAAGAGGGAGGAATGGAGGTTAGAGAATTTATTTCAAACAGCAAAGAAATTGAAAAAATTCCAGTTGAAGATAGAATAGATAAAAATATCGTTAAGTTGTTAGGAACTAAATGGGATACAATAAAAGACCAATTTATTATCACTTTACCAAAATTTGACAATAATAACGTGACTAGACGAACTGTTTTAGCTCAATTAGCAAAACCTTTCGATCCTTTAGGATTAGCTGCGCCAATAATTTTACAAGCCAAATTAATAAGACAGCAAGCAGACGCAGATAAACCTGAAACTTGGGATAAACCATTAAGTAAAGATATAGAGAAGAAATAGAGAAAACTTATGAACCATTGGGAAGGAATAGAAATCAAGGTAAATAGAATAGTTAATCCGTGTTGGGACGGAAAAGTAATTTATCAATTGCACGTATTTACTGACGCTTCTTATGTGGCTATGAGCGCATCAATTTATTTAAGAACGATAACGGAAAATAAAATTGAATCTAGATTAATATTTGGGAAAAGTCTAGTTATTCCTTCTAATATGCCAGAAGCACGTAGAACAATACCTAATCTTGAATTACATGCAGCTATGCTGAGTTGTAAATATGCACAGTTTGTTAGGGATCAACTAGAAAAAGTTTAAAATTGAAAATATACAGATATGGACAGATTCTACCGACGTTTTAGACTTCTTATTAAGCAATAAAAAATTTGATAGGTTTATAAAAAATAGATTAAATAATTTAAGAAATTTTTGTGTTAAACATATAGAAGGAGAGAACAATCCATCCGATTTTGCGTCGAGAGGGTCGACCCCTCAAGAACTTAAAAATAGCCATTTGTGGTGGTATGGTCCATCATTTTTTGTACAAAGAGTAAGTGAATGGAATCAACCACTGAAGACATATGATCCTGACAAAATAAAATGTAAGGAAGAAACCCTACCATTGTTTGAAAACTGTTTAACATTAAAAGATGAGGAGAAAATAAAACAAGAAAAGAGAAAGGAAAGTGATGAAAATAGAATAACTAAAAATGAGGGGAGCATGCAAAAACAAAATTCTTTAATCGAATTTGAAAGGTTTTCTAATTGGTACATATTAATTCATACAATGGCGTACGTAAAAACGGATGTTCAAAAAAATAGACTGCAATAAAAAAGAAATTCTTAATAAAATTAAATTAAAAGATGAACCAGAAAGATCGAACGAATTAAGGAATTTTAATAGAATTTCTGTATCAGAAATTAATGAAAAGGAAAATCAAATAATTAAAATTGTTCAGAGAGATTACCCTCCGGATGAAAATATTAAAAGAAATTTGAATTTATTTTTGGATGAACAAAATATATGGAGAGCAAAGGGCCGATTTAATAAAAGTGTTATGGAATATGATATGATAAATCCAATTTTTATTCACCATAATAGTCCAATAACACATTTATTGATAAGAAAAGCTCATTTAGAGACCAAACATGGAGGGATTGAATTGATTAATTGTAATTTAAGACAAAAATATTCGATAACTAATAGTAGACGTACTATAGGGAATTGGTTGAAATCAAAAAAGAAAACTAATTGTGGTATCTGTGCTCGTTGGGGAGCTAAATCTTTTACTACTACCCCTACCGATCTGCCAGAGTGTAGAGTTAGTGGTTCAGCTGCATTCCAGTCTGTTGGGATTGATTATTTTGGACCCTTTGTAACTAATAGTTTAGAATTTAAGAAATGTTGGGGAGTAATTTTTACATGTACACTCACCAGATCAATACATCTCGAAGTTGTGTCAGATTGTACTAGTGAAAAATTTCTTTTAGCCTTTATCAGATTTATTAGAAGGAGACGAGTACCGCATATTGTTATTTCTGATAACGCACCTACGTTTGTTTTAGCAAATAAAGTAATTCAAAAAATGTGTAGCGAAGAAAAACAACAGAAAAATGAATGGATAAATGTAATGAAATCAGATAAAGTTCAAGACTTTTTTCTTTTAAAACAAATTCAATGGAAATTTAACACAGATTATAGTCCTTGGAGGGGCGCGTTTTATGAAAGATTAATTGGAAGTATAAAACATCATCTTTATAGAGTAATAGGCAAGAAAATAATGCAATTTGAATAATTGTATACGCTATTAATAGAAGTTGAAAGAATATTGAATGAAAGGCCATTGACTTATTACACGTCAAGAATTAGTAATACCTTTAAGGCCGATAGACATTTTAGATTGTTCTTTTGATAGCTTTACAATTTTCTTTTGAGCCTCAAAATCCTGAAAATTTTAATGTATTACAGAAAGAATAACGTATTGAAAGGAATGGAAGATCCGGTTGGGTATTATTTAGAATGCCTACTACTAGGCCAGAGGTTTATGATCTCTTAAAAGAGACGACGAACCTGCGCCTCTGGTAGCACAGTTTGTAGAAACGTTGTCCGTGTTGTGCCAAAGCTGCCAAGCATTAACTGGCAAGAGGTAAAGGATAGTTGCCTGGCAGAGCAATATATACTCCACTATACTCTTTTATGGCTATGAACGTTTTTTAAGATTATAAAAATAAGACGTTCTTTTTTGTCCTGCTGTAATACAAGGGTATAATTTTCCTAATTATTTTAAAAATAATAAACTAATTAATATTAAGAATAATTTTCATTTCAAATAAACTCATGTCTTGGAAAATTACCAAATAGAAATTCACCTAAAAATCGCCGTTTTAGTTTATAATTTTTCTGATCATAGATTTTTGTTTAAAAACTTATGTCCCCAGGGTGATTAATGGAGACTAATAACGGTACTTATGGTTATCCCAAACCCGTTTTTGTGAACATATTTATGCGGACTCATTTCTGTACGAAAAGGTCAAATGTTATCTTTTCCTCGATTTCACTCAATTTTCTCTGTGGCATTTTTAATGAGGGCATCAATAAAGAAAATACTAATTTTTTGCGATGCCATCAAATATAAACTACATAACATTAGGATCAATATTTTCATTTTTATGTATTTATTTTCACAATTCAAAATCTTTTTCTTTGGCGATAAGCATCGAGCTTTGCGTGTTTTAACTAGAGACCCGGTATTGCGACACTTAACACACCCAAAAAATTTATTGAATTAGGAGACTTAACATGTACCTTAACATGTACCAATATACACAACGTTTACATAGGTTCTGATATTGAAGTTTGTCTAGTCTATTTCTAAACCAGTTTTACGTACCAATTTTTGTTATTTCTGACCAATTTGGACGAATTAACAAAATTATTTTACCTTCCTATTTATATGATAGGAAAAAATATCTCAGAATTAATTATTTCCTCAGAATAATAAATCTAAATAAAACAATAAATTAACACAAATACAACTAAAATTATTCATCAAACAGCACACAGATATTTATAAAAGAAATGAACGATCACAAAGGAACATTGAAAAAGTGAAATTTTGCCTACTTTTTATAGGCAAAAATAACAATAATAAAAATGATGCAATGTAAAGTTCATTGCAAAAAATACACAAAAATATTGTCAAAAATGGAAAGTGACTCAATGTTTCACCACACAAAAAATAAATAAAATTCCACAAAAATAAAAAAAATCTAAAATATTTTTAATCTTTAAATCTTCAAATTTCGTTATGGACAAGTGGAATGAATTTAAACAAAGTTACATTTTGTGTGCTTATAATTAACAATATAATTTAGCGAACATTATGGTCATTAAACTTTATTGCAATTCAGAAAATCAAAGTCAACATCGGATTTTTAATATACATATCATCGTTATTTAAATTCTATTCGATTCCTTTTCTTCTTTATTTTTATGATTTTTCTTATTTATTTTTTGTTGCTTTAATCCACAAGCATTACATAAATAGTGTTCATTTATAGAATGACGACGCCATTTTGATGTTTTTGTTGCTCCGCAAATAAAACAATTTACATCTTGAGGAATTGGCTAAAATAGGTATTGAGAAACAGGCTTGAAATTAGGGCTCTTAGATCAAGAATATTTTATTTGATCACCATTTTTTGAGAGAAACTTTATAAAAACAGATAGAGTAAGAATTTACAAAATTTTTCAGGAATTCTCTCCCAGAATGTTGGTACCTATAAACAACTTAAACCTAGAAAACGAGTAAAAATTAAGGAGGCTTTATAATTTCTTATCACATTCTATCTAAATGTTTTTTTCAATT